ACAGCAGAGCTTTCTCAGAAGCATGGGCCAGAGAGAGTCTAAGATTGCCCTTTTGTTGCTAGTGAGCAGGAAAAAGGCTTTGTCATGCTGTATGAGTAATTTCCACTCCTGTGGGCTTTATGCTGTACAAGGATCCTTCCCCGTAGGTTTCTTCAGCAGATGTAGAGCTGCACTGCCAAGCTTTGTTTTCGAAGACAATCTCACAGAAATTGAGGCACTAATGATGACCAAATGCAGACATCAAAACTATTTTGAGCATGTAAGAGCCGTTAAATGCAGCCCAGTCGGGGTGCCTTTACAATCTACCTGTGAACTGCATTGCCTGAATGATCCATGTTGACATAACAAGCTTAATTTACCCATTTACCCAAGTGTGTTTCTTTTATGTGGCACAGCTAACCGCTCAGTTCCCTTCTTGAAGCTCCACTACTTGATATTTTTCATGTAAACGATCTTACAGCACATGAACTGTACAGTTCAGTCCATCTCTGATCAACAGCTTCACAGCTTTAGTAAATAAGCTGCCTGCCTAGCACCTAACTGTAGACAAAGTTCGTGTCTAGCAGGGATTAAAAAAAAAAATGGTGAAACATCTGGGAGATAAAGAGCTAGATGTTTTAGCAGATACAAATGTTGCCATACCATTCAATTTATTATAACTGGTTATCATGGGCAGAACTATGGTTCAGGAGGCACCTCCTATACCTACCAGGACATGAAATAAGTAGCAGCAATATAGGCCGAATGTTCCATCACCTCATGTAACTTTGTCTGGGACCATCAGGTCATCAAAGTGGCACTTTTACACACTGCACAGATCAGAAAACACTACTCTCCTACAATTGAGTCGTGTTTGAAATCAGGGTCAAACATGTTGTGTGCCCATAATAGTGTTTACCCAAGCCACAATATTTCCCTAAATGTAAGAAGAAGATTTGACCAAATCTAACCATACAGTTTTACAACCTAAGCCCAGCAACTATATGAATCCTCCATAAATACTGTATGACAGTAAAGGTCTGTGAGGTGATAACCTACTGAACCTCCTAGTAGGTGAGTATGGACCTACTGAACCATAACTAGGGAGAATGAATGCTGAATGAGTGATATCGGAAGTGGGTGGATATCCTATGAGGAGTTGGTAGAAGCCAAACCAGACCTAAAGCAGAGCTAATCCTGGATTTACTTAACATTTATCGAGTGGACACAAACATGACTCCAACTGAATGCTAATGTTGCTATGTGTATGCTGGATCCTATATCCACAGAATGTTCACTGAAATTATAAAGAAGACTGAGTTACAAGAAGGAATCATTGATAATCAGCCAGTGTTTCACAAACACTGACTTGCCACAATATGAACATCGACTGCCACACATTGATTTCAAAAAGGTAAAAACTTATTTCAATGTGTCACGTGTCGCACACGTGCTTGCTCAGTCCCTCCGTGCATTTCTCTCTCACACATAAACACACTACAACCATGATGATAGATGTCATGCTTCTCCTCTGTGTGTGTGTGTGTGTGTGTTTTTTTTCAAATAACGCTATCAATAACAGAGATCCAACCCTTCTAATATGTTATTAGCAAGCTAGTAAGAATGGCTAATTCCCGTGAGCTACCGCCACAAGTAGAATCCAATTCTGTGGGAAACACTGTCAACATTATGGTATTAATTATTTTTTCTTAATGTGAAATCTAATAAAGAATATGGAGTGTGCGGTGTGGAAAACAAGCTTGCCTGAAGTTCAAGGTCCCTGCTTATCCCTCAGCCGTGCCCCAGGTTTTCTGCTACAAACATTCACATGCAGTACAAAGTCTGATTCAAAATCTGATAGCAAAACAACATTCAAAAAATTCAGTAGATCAAGTTTAAACATAAAATAAACAGACACAGAGTATGGCAGCCCAGGCAGCCTGGCACAGCATCAAGTATTTTAAGGATTTTCAGATCATCTGCCAGTGGGTGATAAACACATCAAAAAAAGTAAGTTAAAATTCAGACATATACTGATCATAGTACTTCGTACCTACTGTATACATCACTCAGCCTGTTTTTATGGTTGTTACATAAAGAACGGTATATGTTAGAATCAGGTGCTGTGAGCAATACTATCAAGTTTAACAAGATGTTTTTGAATGGCAACTGATGGAATTTAAAACTATAAAAAGGTGCCCAATCTGTTATAGCAACATTTTACTGGCCAGGATTGTAGAGTGAAATGTCTAAGTTCCATTTGATAGCTGAGATTCAAATGATACCACATAAAAGTCCTGGATCACAGCTTCATTTAACATTTGTCCATTTGATGGATGTTTTTCTGCAATGTACCAAGGCAATTCCAAGTACCAAGGCAATTCTACTCAACACCATTCTCCAACTTGTATCACAAATTCCAGTTTAACAAAACCTTCTCTTTCACCTTTGTGTGTGTTTTCAACTCCCTTCACACAATGACATCAGCTCACTGAGGCACAGACAGAGAGACAGACCTGTGGAGTGACACGGGGCAGACAGATGAACAGAACATGTGGAGGAGCTGGATGAACATCTTTGGTGTTTGAATTTTCAGGTGGGAACAGCAGTGAAAAGACTGGGCTTTGAGTTACTTCATCACAGAGCTGCAGAACAGCCACTTGCTGACAATGTGAGTGATACAGAGATCCAGAAAACTGCTGGCTAGGCAGAAATAAGCTCCTTTTGTTCTATTCAGTCTAGTGGAGCAGCAGTGAACCCCCCATTCTCCACTGCCAGGCACAAGAAGAATTAAAAAAAACTCTGCTTTTGGTTCCAAAAAAATGCTTGTATTCAAAAGAGGTTTTCACTTTCAGGAAGAGGAGAGGAAAGCAGAGGATGAAAGGAGGGAGTACAGAAGGATATTATCATACTGGGAAAGCAGAGCTGGCAGAAGAGGTGGGAGGGAAGAGAGGATGTTTGATTGCACTGTCAGAAAAATGGGGAAGTAAAGAAGTGACAGAGAAAAAAAAAAGTATGATGGGATGTAGTGGAGTGATGGAGCTATTTTTTTTTCTGTTAGCTGGCTAAATGGGAGGCCTGTGCTATAATGGGGCAGAATGGGCATTGGCCGAAGGCTCTAATAGGGCCTTCAGAGAGGATTCGGAAGTTCAAAACAAATCCTCGGTCACAATGGAGCAGAGTCTGCACTGGGCTGGTAAAGCCTTCGTCCATCTCAGAAATTTAATTACACTCAGTGTGGCAGCATTACTCACACAATAGCTCATCTCGAAATAACTTCAGCCTGCCACAGCTTGGCTGAGCCAGATTTGAATCCCAATATCTCCTTTATGATCCTCAACAATACAAAATATTTGATGGAAATGAAAGGTCTTGGAAATCAAATAACTGGATGGTTATTTTGTTATATTTTGTCAAAATATGTGAAAACATTCCATCTGTATTAAATCTACAAATGTTACAAGAGTCAGTTCACCCAAATTACAAGAAAGAAAATATTGTAACCTAGGCTAGCTTGAGGAAGGAGATGGAGACTGGTGTTTTCCCTTTTTCCCTTTCATTTCTCCCCTTACACTCTGGCAACCACACAGAACACACTGAACAATGCCTGCCAACCCTGAACTAAATACATCCCATGCAGGCAGGCATTCTGGGGGATCCCGGCAGGTGTTTCCCCCCTAAAGCATTCTGGGGGACCCTGCCAAGTATCTCTCCACCCCCTGTAGAAAATTGTTGTTAAGGCTTGAGAAGTTACTATGTCTGCATTATGCCAGTTAAAATTTGGGGTTTCTCAACTACCTGCTTTGTTTAGAGTGTTAGAAATCTCTTTTCATCGGTACATATACCGTTGTTTACCTATCTATGGAGGCAAAATCACAAATGTGCTCAGAACAGCCCATGTTATTGTCGTGATACATGTTGCCATTCTATATTACAACAATAGCTTATTAATGAAGCATTCACATGTAACATTTTAATGCTGAAGCTTTCAAGTGTAGAAGTAACCTAAACCCGTTTATACTCTAGTAGTTTAAATGTCAGCACTTTATAAATTTTGCACATAACATTTTGGGTAATAGGCTGTTAAATACTCGTGTGCAATGAAATAACTTTGAATATTTGAGCTCAAACTTTTTTGCTATTTTCACAAACTGAGCAGCTTCCATGGTGTAGCTACTCCACAGCATAAACATCAGCTTTCATTTTAGGGATACAAAGTTGAAGTACATCTATATAACCTGCAGCTAGTTTTCAGGGCAGCATAGCAGTAAGCATATTCACATACTCCCTCGCACCTTAACTTTCACTGCATGTTTTACAGAACTGAGGACTTTTTACCTTGAGAGGAATAGAGGAAAATCAATGTGGCCTGCCCTTTAACAATAATTCACAGTTGTACTGTTCCTCAGGGGGTCCAGGGTGAGCTTGCTGCTGCCACTCACTGATGTCCTCCAGCCATCACAGTCCATTCCAACAAACTCAATGCAATGAAACCACCAAGAAAAGATTACAAATGTTGAAATTGTTACTATGAAGGAGAAAAAAAAGAAAGATGTGTACCTGTTTCTGTACCTGCTTGTTCATGGCAGCTCAGTTACAAAGCCAAGTGTCTTAGTAATCAACAGCTACAGCTAGTTAGGGATGTTGTGGGTTTTTTTATGCAGCATTTTTTGATAAAAACCTAACATTATCAACAAGCTTGGTATTACGTTGCACTTCAATCGTCTAGAAGACACAATACATGGAAGGTTATCTTTCTGCCCTGAGCCTACAGGAGGAAATGCTGCATTATTCCACCATTCGATTCAACCTCACATCACCCACTGACTTAACACCGGCAGCAGAGTAATCTCATACTGATCTTTACCACACTTCTTCGACAGCCATCTGCAAACTATGAGTAAGATGAGAATTTGTCTCTGCATTTCATTTGAAATAAGAGCATGCAGTAATCCGTGACAGTAAAGTTGTGGTGAAAAAGGAGCTGCAGGCCAAAATGAAGAGGATTACGGATGGATTACCTGTGTTCCGACTCATGGATGGAGAATATGACTCCTGATGTGGAGGACTTCTGCTGGATGGAGGCCAAGAAGGTAAACTCACTTTTACTCCTGAAGAGCTGCAGCACTTTCTCTGTGATGTGTGCCGGGGCATGAACCGCT